AGAGGACATCTCCAGCCTCAGAGGGTCAACTCCATTTGACACGCGAGGTTTCTAATGAACAATAGTTATCCGTCGTCAAAGGAGGTGTCAAATTTATGAGCCATGAACGTCAGAAAGCTGCGTAAACATGCCACTTTTGACATTAGAAGAACATTAATTAAAGAGAGGCCAATGCGCGCTCGTCCCGTCTCTTTCTCAAAAACTTCTCCCGCACCTGGGGAAATAGGGGGTAGCATCAGGGTGAGGGTACATTGCCCAGAGACAGCCCTTTTGAATACATTGTTAATCAAATGAAGATGACTTCCACCAGACCTCAAAAAACGTTGGATGACGAAATCTTAAACTGCCAACCGCTGTAGGGGAATCACACCCCTACAGTATATAAAGGGCGGTTTTTCGCCAAATAGGGGCAGTCTAAATAAAATCTTCGACTCGAAATCTTCAAGTGGTACCCTGCTCGTCATCCAGTTCAACTCACCTGTCCCAGTCTTCAGGGAGCAACTCTGCAGGACCACTCTCTGAGGTCACCACGCGGCGCAGTCCGAGCTTACAACTCGACTCTCCTCGTAACCCCAGATCGAGTGCGCAGCTTTAATAAACGTAAAATTTTGACTCTTGGTTATTAACGCGGAGCCCTGCTCATTAATAAAGCCGACCCTTCAAGATCCGTCTGTTGGGAAGCGGCTCTGCAGCATCGCCCAATCTCATCACTACTACATCGAGTTGACAATTCGATTTTCTTCACAAGGTCAGATCGACGAGTGTACTTCGAGGGAGACAAGCCAGCCGATCCCATTACAAATTCTTGATTTTCGACGAGGGGCCCTGCTCATTACTAAAGCTGACCCTTCAAGATCCGTCTGTTGGGAAGCAGCTCTGCAGCATCGCCCAATCTCATCGCTACTACATCGAGTGGACAACTTGATTTTTTTCGCTATGTCCGATCGACGAGTGTACTTCAAGGGAGGCAAGCCAGCTGATTCCATTACAAATTCTTGATTTTCGACGAGGGCGCTGCTCATTAATAAAGCTGACCCTTCAAGATCCGTCTGTTAAGAAGCAGCTCTGCAGAATCGCCCACTTTCATCGCTACTACATCGAGTGGACAACTCGATTTTCTGCACTGCGTCAGATCGATTGCATTCCTGCAAGCCAGCACCGACCTGGTAAATCGCTCAGCGTACAACTGAGCTCATCCTGACTGTACAACTTAGGGAATCCTCTCGTCAAGCCAGTCCCGACCTGGTGAATTACTCAGCATATTACTGATATTGCCCCGAGTGTCCAGCTCCGGGATCTCTCTACCCCTAGGAACATAAAGCTAGGGAGCAACCAATTTCTGCCTGAGTGGACAACTCAGGTCTATTAACACCACCAACCCCTCCAGAGTCACATCGTCATCATCACCAGCGCTAGAGAAGCGTGTTTGAGCAGTTTCCGACTCCAACAGTGCTAGAGGATCTAGCATACTTTTGGTGTTCTCCGGAATCCGCTGCGAAGAGGAAACACCAAGAGATGACCCCTTCCCTGCTGCCGTTTATTTCTACAACCGTAAGTCAGAAAAACACACCAACAACATTTACACCATTCCCTCCTCCACTTTTTTCCTATCTACCCCTCGTTTTTATCTTGGACTTTCTTCTATCCAATATCTCAAGTGAAGCGTCATAAATTTTAATTCTATTTTTAGGGAAACCTAAGGGTATCTTTCTCTTTGTATGCTAATTCCTCATATTATAACCATTGTGTACTTCAGTCCTTAGTCCCACGCAATCGGCCCCACTAAGTGAGATTTATAAGATCCTTTCTCCTCCGGACACTACCTGTTGAGACTAGTTACGGTCAACTCATCTGAAGGGTTCACCTTTTACCCGATATTTCGACCTCCCTAGTGACCCACTGTCCGCTACATACGGCCTTTCAATATTTGACTCAGGAAATATGGGTCAGACCAGTTAACTTGCGACAACGCAACATATATGAGCAGGGGGTCATGCGACTATTAAAAAAGACATCGGAGAAGTTAGGGGGACGACTGAAAAAGAATGGTAATCTATAAGGGGCTCAAAGTGCATTACACTGATTAATAAAGAGAGAGGCCCAAAAAAAATTATAAAAACTCATCGAAATGTGTTGTGGCTCACCGTTGGGGGGAAATTAATGCGGGACGGGGAAATCTCATTGGGACATTGAATGAAAATGCGGCACTCACCGGTAATGACGACGCAAGAATCTTCTCGTTTTCCTGGGTAATCTTCTCTTCAGGATTTCTTCAAAATTTCTCCTCTTTTGCACTTCCTTCTGTCTCTTCTCCTGATTCTCCCAACTTCTTGCACCGTCCTCCAATTCATCCATACTTCTCACAAAATAGTCTTCCCAACTAGTCCTTCCATTTCTCTAATGTTCCTCTCACAATTCTCCCCTTTCTCAGAATTCTCTCTTCAAAATTCAACCAAAATTTTTAACACACAATTAAATCCAGGACTTTTAACTACTAACCAGCTCGAGGGTGGTGGTACGGCCAACTTACTTGCGGCTACGCGAAATAATATAAGGAAATAAAAGGGGGTAATTTTTAATCTGCAAAGGGGGCGAAGTTAGGGGGACGACTCGAAAAGTAAGAATTAATAGGTGGGTTGAATTACAACACAAGAGAATGAATATACTAATGTATGAATGTAATAATAAATTAATATGGAACAAACCGGGGAACTCACCGTCCTGGGGTATTGTCCTCCTTCTCTCCTTCTTTATTCTCCTCGGCAAACTCTCCGAAAGATTCCGCCACACAATATTTCTCTCTTAAATACTTCTCCACGCAACAGTTCCTCGGCACCAAAATCCTTCACCCGAATTCCTTCACACTCGTTCACCTTCATACAATAGTTCACCTTCCTCACAATGGTTCTTTTCTTAACACATTGCTCTTCTCAGGGTCTCGTCACGAGTTTCTTCTCACCTGGTCCCTTCGCAGGTTTCTAAATTGCGAATTTATCGATTCAGAATTCAATTTTCATAATTTAAGATTAGGACAGTTTAGGTCCCCGAGAAGGAAGAAAAAAGGAATTATTTACCCCGAAATGGTTCCCAAATGATGCATGTACTGCTTTTGTAAATTTCCCCTCGACCATCCAGAGAGGAGAGATGATGACATTCGTCTGGTGGCACCATGAATTCTTTCATTGATTGACTGGGAATTGACCAGTTCTTCACGATGGATATATGAGTAAGTTTTATTATATTCTTGTGTGATGGAATAAACGACCCAGGGAAGAAGTTGTTTGATGGGCGAGGTGATGCGAGGGTACAAATTAAGAGAATTGAGGAACAATGAAGAAATAGAATAATCGACCAAATAGCCCTTTTTTTAGCCCACGACTTCTGCAGACGTAGAGAAAAGTAGTGACAGAAAGTGGAAGTTTTGTCCAACTTGGAATCATTAAAATCCCTTGCAGTCTATACCCCGAGCACAGCTGTCACTAACTAATTTTTTCAGCCCCTCTAAATTTCCATTCACCACTTCATAATAATCACTGGCCAATGCCACTGTTGGAAATCCATTTCCTCATAAAATGCTACCCGCGCCCTTCAGACTAGGAAAAAACTCGCCGATGCTGACCGTAGCAATGAACGGCGCCCGCTGTTCGCACCCCTTCTGCTATGAAAAATCTCCTTTTTAATTTTTTCCGCATATGTGGATATGGTTGCCTTCAAGGCAGCCGCAAAAATACATGAAAGAAGTTTTTCTCCCCGGCCCATTACACCCGAACATCAAGAGAGGATAACCGAACCTGGAAAAAGGAACATTCGGAGATGACTCACGGCTACCACTGGTTATTCAGCTACCGTTATATTAAGACAAGAAGAGAAAAAGTTTTGCTGACAAGAATTATTGAATTAAAGAGGTTAAACGGCACCCATGAAAATGAACTGAAAGGATGTGCGATAGAGAATAAAAAAGAAAAATTTGTCATCCTGTCCATAATATTCAGTCCGCTTGCGATTTCTTCATTGCACTACCGACTGCACCCCCTCTCCGTCCCAACAAAATAGATTCCATATCATGTCCCCTTTGCCATCAATTCTAGAATCTCTCCGTCGGCGAGTGCTTCCTCTGCTCTTAGATCAAGGTGACAAGATTATAAAGCCAAGAAACGTGAGATTTGTATTTTTTAATAGATTCGAGAATATGAAATCATTACCGATAAGTCTTTCTTTAAGCAAAACAAGGTAGCGGAACTAACAACAAACAGTAACAATTGCCAAGAAACGTATTATCAATTAGTAATTAAACTAAATAAATAGGTAGTGAAGTTCGATCACAATTCATTCAGAGCGCAGTCAATGTAATCATCGAATGCAATTATTTTAGTGTTAAACATTCTCTCTTTCGAGTTCGCAATGCTTCCGATTTTGCATTCTCTTCCACGACAGAATAAACTTACTATCGTCGTTCATTACTTCACGTGCTTTAAACCAACCACAGGATGGCTGGCACTTCGGAGAGCTGACCAATTTACCCTGAAGTTGGGAGAAGAGTAGCGGTAAATAGTAGCTGCTCACAAATCGTGATTGAACTTGACTTATAGATAGATCCGTCTCAGTATTCCAGTATTCATGATGTGATGCACATTCTTATTTTCAGTGGATTTTGATTCATCGCAATGAGTTTAAAACCGTAAATGAAGACATCATCATTTTCATGGCCTGAAAACTTACCTTCATCATTATCATCATATTCCAAATTTCTCATTCTATATCTTATTGTGTTTTCTTACTTTTCCGAAGCTTTCCATGGACATTATGTAGAATTTTCCCGCTGTCAAATGGCACGGTGTCAAACTTCTCATCATGATCGGTAACAACATCGATTGCAAGTGCCGAGGCAGGCAGTACCATTGACTTTGATAACTAGAAAAGAAGACGGTAGAATATTTAGCTCCGATACCTATTCTATTAATGAAATTGGATGAAAGGCCATTCAAATAAAGAATTTGCATTCATTCTAACGCTGATGTGAAGATCTTTTCACTCTGCACTTCCAGAGCATGCCCTAGCCAACTAATCCAAAAGAGATGGCAGATGCCGCCTGCACTGATGAATGCCATCCTAATCATTTCACTTGGCTGAGATTTTTTAATTATAGCCTTTAATCAAAATGACATGCATAGACAATTATTGTGAGTCGTAGAACGATGGGAATCAGTATACTTGATGATGATGGTAACTCACTGTCATTCCAGTGAGGAGTATTGTCACAATATTCACTCCAACAACAACTAACAGAGCAATATTATATGATGATTCCAAATTCTTCACGAACCTGTCACCAAGCCGTTATTCATTGAATTTCATGTGCGATTGTCTTCTTCAACGTTACTTACTTAAAAATTTCAGTTTGCATCTCAGAACATCTGCTGAACTTCTTCATAATGACTTCAGCATTCTTCACTGCATCTTCCCGACTTCGCAGATTCTTAATAGACAATGTTTCGAGATGTAATCTGAAAAACAATGAATATACAATTCTGCGATGTAGCTGATTAATCTCCAATGATCTTACTTCAAGATTTCAAACATTCCACACGTATGATTAATGAAAGTTGCAAATAAATTATCAAAAAAAACTATGTAGCCTACGCCAATAGTCACCGCCACATAGGAGTGGAACAATAGTTCTACGTAGTATTTGTCTTGATCGATGAAGAATTCTGTTTGATAAAGAACAATTCGCGAACGAGACTCATTCATTGGTTGTACCAAATCCAAAATTTTCGGTACAGCAGGTGTACAAAACGAAATCAGGGTAACTCCAAACATGAACGCTATAAGCGAATCAGAAAGCAAAAGAAGTACAGAATCGTCGAGAAGCCGTAAACATAGAGCAGGGATGGGCAACCTCCAGGTAGCTCGGAGCAGAGTCATAAACTCGAGTTAGGAATCCAATAAAGTTTATAACCATGCCAATTATAAGGGTCCTAGTACGATCATAGTGGGGACAGTAGTGGGGCGGCCTCACAGTCGCCGTATTGGGGAGCGTCCCTTGACGTCTCTGTCAAATGATAAAATGGGGAAAATGGCCGCCGCGATTAATATAATTTTAAAAATCCACACATGGAAAAAAAAATTTTTGAATATGAAGATAACTATTGGTCATTGAAATAAACATGAAGGTACTCGTCAAATTCAGCTTCCCGACTTGATGACATCTTTCAGCTTGCTTTTTAAATTTTTGGTCCAATATCGACCTTACCGAAAAATATGTCAAGGAAAAAATACCAAACATTGCAGTTTTGGTCGGCTGATGGTGATTCTGAATATAAAAAAGAAATATTTTTTTTAAATAATATTTTTTTTTATTTTCTTCAATTAACATTTTTACTTCAATCAATGTCATTTCTTGAATAAATAATTGCGGCACCACTTGAACATGGCATTGTGGAGTTTGTTCCTTGCCTCTGAAATTAAACAGCTAGTCTTTACATTTCATTCGTAACGTCTGCTTTGAAAATTAATAAAAATGTCATCGTGAAGAAAATTCCACATTTTCCATTTTTGACTCATTTCACCGCTTTTTCTTTTCTTCAGTGACATTTCTCCTCTTTTCCTGTTCTTGAGTGTTACCCCCCATTTGGTTGATTTCAGCCGAGGAGAAGGCCCTTTACGACTCAGGTCATAAAGGCCCGTCACCCGACACAATAAGCTTTCGTTTACCCTTTGTTATGTACTAATAGAGGTCGGGAGCACGACTTGCTCTCAGAGCAGAGGTTACCCATCCCTGACATAGAGTATAGGCATGGAGTCCAGTGCAGAAGTGGCCTGAGGTCTTGCATCAAGATGCTTGGCAGGGTGTCGGCTACCAAAAAGTTTAGACCTTAAATGTCCATGTTTTTCTCTAATGGACTCAGGCCAAGCGTTACAGTATATACATGACACAACATTAAATGATTTTTAATAATTATCTCGAACAGGGGAGAGTGAATTTGAATGGTGTCCTTATATAGGTCATCCATACTGTTTTCAATGGTATAATTTTTACATTTTTCCGATCGATAGTTGAGAAAATATGATCCCATATCCACATTCCCCCGATTTCACATTATGAAATGGCCAGAATGAATTCGTGACGTTGGCAGCACTGCCACACCTGAATGGGAACAAATGCACGTAGGAAATCCAATTCTCACCACCAGTGTCTTTCGATGTGTTGACAATATTCAAAGACGTAAAATGAAAATAAAATAAATCCTAACTCTTCAGTTTAATTGTAAATTTGATTAGCAAAGAAATTGAGTTCATAATATAATAACTATTTCTTTTTAATTTTGCAAAATATATGAAACCCACTGAAAAAAACAATTGGTTATTTTCAGGCTTAGCCATGGAAACTTTCGAGCCGAAGGCGAGCATGGCAAGCATGGGGAGAAATGTCATATCTTTTCCAGCGTGTGGCTTCAATAAAATTATTCCAGACGCAGGGCCTGGGAACGCGATTTTCTGGATGCGTAGTATCCAAAAAATGATATTCTTCATGCACCAGTCTGGAAAAATCGATTTTTGTAAAAGACGCACTACAAGATAGATTTGTGTAGTGCTTTAACTTAACATTTTTTGAAAAATAAATAGAAATAAACAGCGTTAAACAGGACTGCGGTATGATAAAAAAATAGTGGAAGATCAATGTATCTGGCGCAGATTTTTTCACTTCATCGACTCGTCACTACGGAAATTATGAAGAAAAATATTCTGCCTCTCTTGATGAAAATATGAATGTTCCCAAACCTCATATCACGTTATTAGCGACAACTGGACAATCGTGGGTTTTATCTACCACGCGGTCGCTGCTGCGGAGATTAGGAGGTTCCATAGGCATCACAATAGACTGCGTGGCAGAATAGAATCATTTTCAGAAAAAATCGCAATACCATGTTTTGTAACCCTACGCATATACACTAGATTATATACTTGTACCCGCAAGTAGGCTACACCGCTGAGCAAATGCTCACTTCTCAGTATTCAAGGAAGAACAAGTGAAGCAACGCGGTTGCAGAGAATCAATTAATAAAAGCGTTACCATAACGACCACCACACAACGACGGTTGCAAAAAATTTCAGAAACAAGGTTTGAGGAACTCTTGACAGTTCTTCAAACCGGGCACATATTTCAAGTATGAAACATAAATCATGCGCATTTTGTGGATTCCGGATGGTTTATCTTGCACTGGTTATGCGGTTAAGTTGCAGTTCACAATAGCCAGTTAGAAACAAGTATCAAATGGCCTACAAGTTCTACAGGTCAACCGAAAGGCTGATTCAATAGAATCAGCCAGATCGAATGAATTCTGGTCAGTGGTTAGTAGGCAGTAAACTACCATTGAATGATTACATCTTTCTGTCGAAGGCGAAAAACATAGCCATAAAATTACTAAGTAGGAAAAGGGGTTGTACTTTATGAAAATACTTATTCAAGGTAGCTCTAACAATACAGCGTAAGTCGTAAGAAGTGGCGGATATGTTAACTTCAAGGTCACACTACGCGTGCTTGACAAAGCACAAGTAATATAGTGCATTGAGTTAAGCCTTCGCTTAGTCTTCCATTAAATAGCAATTGGCAATTGTCATGAACAATACAAAACTGTATTGGTGTGAGCCAAGGTAGAGCCCATGTACTTCTGTATTTTAACAATCTTGCCAAACAGCCACTTTGATGTCTACACCCCTATATTCCTATGTACGGGCGCGTAAGAATTGCATTAAATCTGAAAACAAGTAATACCTGTTCATCTGTATATTACGGCGTAATTTCAGGAGGTTCACGAAATCCTCCTTCCATTAGCGTGCCCTCTAGCACCAACAACTCCAACAGAAAATCAAAATCCAAAAATGGTAGGCGCAAGGTCAACTTCTCTCAGCTGCAACTGCTCCAGTAGCTCACACGTAGAGATTTGAAAATAATCGGAAGCTGAAACGGAATGCAACTGGGATAGGCAATCAAATATAAATAAATAAAATAGTAAATTGTCGGGGGGAACAATTTTTAAGTAATAAAAGAAAAATTTGTCTCGATACATAAAAAAAAAAAAAATCAATAAATCACCTAAATCAACTAAGCGTTATTGCACGGACTGTCATCTACTTAGAATAAAACAAATATTTTCTGAAGTCTAATAATGTTAATCAAAGAATAAAATATAATATAATATCAATATAATTTAATAACAATAAATAAATAAAATAAATAATCATAAAATAGTCAAAGAAGTCAGAATAATAATTTAAAGAAATCAAACAAATGAGTCACGAGACTCAAGTTATTAATGGCAGATAAGCAATAATAACGGATAAATAACAACGGAGTTACAAAACTCCATTGCTAAAGTCGGAAAAGTCACAAAGTTTTATCAGAAATAATTTTCAACTAATTGTCACATTAATTCAATAACTCGAAACAGTAACGCGAAAATAGATAAGTCTACGTGACCTCGGATACTCGAAGAAACAACATAATAAATACAAACTGGAGACAGTTACTCCCGAAGTCACGAGACCTTGAAATAAAATAAAATCTAAATGAAATTCAATGACGCGGTTTTCACATTTTGACGTGGCGAAAGTTATCAACCAAAAGTCGCGAAACTAACCAATTAACATAATAAAAAAAAATCATTAATGACAAAAAAATAATTTCAAATAAATTATTCGAGAGTGAGAGTCACCAGATAATGAAAATTATAATCTCTGCCCACAATAAAGAAAATAAATATTAATAGATATTGGCCACCACGCTCAACTGAATTCCTCGAAAATCTTCTCAAAGTTCTTCAAAACGATAACCAATAAGAACAGCATCACTCAACACAAAAATTTCCAATAGGTCTGCTTCAAAATAACGCCGAACGGGAAGTGATTGGCGCAAACCACGTGAAAATGGGCCATAGGTAGGTAACGCAGTGAATCAAATGTTGGGGGGGGATGTCGGACCCTGGGTCGGTAATGGCGGGTTCTGCTTTATCGACCTGGGATGGTAATACCTGGTTTCACATTTTTGGATCGTATGTGGGAGCTGGGCCGGAGGGGCTAATATCCGCCATGTGATATCTGACGTTGAATATCTACCATATGATGTTCGATATCTAGCATGTCGTGTCTACGGTCTAATTTTCAATTTCTGATGTCTACTGTCTAATATCGAATTCGCGATATTCAATCTCTAATATTTCATTGCTGACAATCATAGTTTACAAAAATTTTTACATGATCTGCTGGTGGTCGATTTTTTCTTTTATGCTACCTCAATAATCATAATTACAACGACTAATTAATTCATGATTTTTTAATTTTTTCTTCAAAATCATTATAAATAAAAACTAAAATAAGAAAGACGAATATTTCTTTTGATTTTTCATCAAATGTGAGGAAGCATTTTGAACTCGATACTTCTCTCCTTCTTTCTCATTGAGATCGAAGCGCGAACAGATGCACACTCACGTGGCTGCTGCGCGTGTTTACCCGTGAGCACGTAGGCAACGTATAAACAAACCACTCAGTCTCTTGGATGCGTGGTTTCGAAGTGGAGTGAATACCTATTCCATGGATCGAAAAGATGATATGATACGACTTATGAAGTATAAGAATTGAAAATTGAATTTTTCCAAATTGGATGGTGATGTGAGGTTTGTACAAATGAACATGAGAAAATTTTTAGAATGTGTAAATATATTTTTACATTTTACGAATCGAAATGAAGAAGACATTTGGACCTAACAATTGAATTACAACTGTTTAATTTTTTGAATCAAAAAGTCCATTAAAATCAGTTTCATTATTTTCAAATTCTTGATGAGTGGTTTGGAATCAATGTTTCAAGCGATATACATTCACTACAGCACAGCAAACTAACTCCTGCGCTGTCTTGATGTATCGATGAATGTGTGGATGGATAGTTTCGTTAAAGAAACAATTGTTGATCTTTGAACAATGTTAATCTTCCGAATTTATAACATGGTACGAATCACCAAGCACTTGTTCTACAAATGCTGTTTCTCTAGACCTTTCACATAAATTTTCCGGCTATTCTGCAGAAAACTGTGAAAGACGTTGTCATTGTTATTGTAATCACAGCCCCCAACACTCCATTGTATTCCATGATGATTACGAGTCAGCCATCTGTTGGTTAGAGTATCTTGCATCTCCAGATCACTCCAAGCGCATGGTAGTTGAAAGAACAAGTTGATGGGAGGAGATTCATCACTGTCTGATGATTGTTGCACGGCCACTGCACTCAATTCTTTTATGATAATATTTCCTCGTTTTTGCTATCCTTGTAAATCAATGATGTATGCCATACTGTGGTTGTTCTTGTACAAATGACGATTGAAAAATTTCTGATAAACTACTCGTGCGCTCAGAGCGGAGTTGTGCAGTATCCCTTCAACTGGACTTGTGTCTCTTCATTGGCTATCTCTCCGCTCCATCCGCATCTGATTTTTTAATTGCTTATTATATGCTATTGAACAATGAGTTGAGGACATCAACTGCCGAAGCCTCCACTTCCTCCGTTTCGGCATCCGTACTTTTCTTTTCCCTCATTACGAGAGACACATTTGGGTGAATGTTCCGCAGTCACTCCCTTCAGCTGCATGTCCTTGCATGAGTGTATAAAAATTGTTGGTTTTTACAAAGATTGTACTCCAACGACTGAGAGATAAACTACTGAGGAGTCATCGAATTGCTGAATAGCTTGGTTAACATAGGTAATCAACGATAGCACAGGTAGTTTCATGAACCATCGCAAGGGTATGATGACATACTCCAGAAGACGTTGGTATGATTCTCCATTGTCATGTGCTGCAGCAGTCTCGAATGATTGTGACTCGCTCCACATCTCGAATCGATTATTGTTTGACATTGTAAAAGAATTTTATTTTTTTTAATAATCAAGAATTGAAGACTATTCAAAGGAATGATTAAGATATCTCATATGCATGAAATTTAAAATGAGATTTCACGAAGATGTTTATATGTGCGTTGCAACGTTGATCTTATTAGGAGGTGGAGGAGGAGGGGTACAGTTTTCAAAGAAATTATACACAGACTCACAAATACATCTAGATTCAATTTTTTTTTATTCAGTGACAGTTACAGCAACTTCGAGTATATTATCAATGGTGATACAAACACAGAGAACACTTTGCTATTGGTCGGGGGATTGGATTGAGTGATGAGGTTGATATTGAAGACCAATGCATGCGGCAATAACATAGCTTAGCAATACTAGAATCCCTCTGCATCATCTCGGGCAACTTGTCCCGAGCTGCATCCGCAGTGGCCTTGGCAATGGTTTTGGTGGAGTGCTTAGGTAGGAATGCAGTTTCCAGAGTGGTCACTTCAAATGCAGAGTTTCACAATATCTCTTCAAGGATTTCTTTACACACCCGGTGCACTTGATAAACCAGTTTTTCCGACGTTGCACATGTTCAAGAAGGCAATGGACTGTGATGGTAGACACACTCGAAAACATCCTCACCTTTCAGATGCTCCATATCAGGGCTGCCAAAGTCATAGAAATCGTCCGTTGGTACCTCATTCTTGAAAATTCGCTGCAACCAGTTCTTCTTCTCTACACCTTGAACGTACATGCGTGAAACATTTTTCAGAATATTATTCAACTATTCACTCAATGTCTTGTATTTGATGTCTCCAGGAGTGTCCCAATGCAGTCCATGGTACTGACGTGACAAACACTGATTCACTTCTTTGTACTTGGGAAGCAACTCATCCTACTTATGTGATGGATCTACTAAAACTGCCTCATGCGAGAACTTTCCATCACCATCGAGTTATAACGCGGAAATTGCAAATTCTTTCACAATAAGTTCGTTTCCACAATTTTAGAAACCCTCAATATCAATGGCAACTGCCATATTGTACGAGTAACTGTGAATCTCTCTCAATCCTATAGCAATCAACTAGCACCGAATACCATGGGTGGATGATATGAACATCTCCAGAATATTGGTAGAAGTGGGGTACCTATGACGCCCACTTGTTCATGTTTTCATAATGTTAGTTAAAAAAATACCTATCCGACTTTATAGTGTCTTTTAGGAATTATTCTTCCGGTAGCGTTCTTACTAACTACGTTTTCGTGCAGTTAAATGTTGCCCCCAAGTGACGTATTCTTAGTATTGATACAATATTCATTAAGATGGACTGGTGATAACACTTTCATAGTTTCCAAGTTTTGCAGTTGCGTCACGATTATTAGAATCTCCAGAATCTCCAGACAGTTCAGCATCTGAGGATAAAGGGATTTCAATAATTCCAGACTCCCCTGTAATTTCGGAGCCACGATCTCCAGAGAGTCTAACACCTGACCAAAGAGGCTCAGTTAATCATCGAACTTTATGAGCAGACAGCTCTATGGTGACAGACTTCGATCCCGCCGAAGGCACAGAACCATTCGTTCGCGTGGGGGAAGCTGTCTATCTACCAGCGGATGTTCATGATGTGGAACCTGTCCAAATTTTCATACCTGACAAATGGGCAGGAATGATGTCAGATATAGCTATGAAAAAAAAGCCGACGAAAATCATTAATCGTCATTTCAAAGTTGGTGGAACTTTCGTTACAATGGGAGATGTTCGAGCTAAGCTCGAAAGAAATCGATTTTCTGTTCGCATGGGAATGTTACGGACACTGGGTCACTAGGCAGGTCAAAATATCGGGTAAAAGGTGAACCCTTCTGACGGGTTGACCGTAACTAGTCACGATAGGTAATGTCCGGGGGAGAAAGGATCTTATGAATCTCACTTAGTGGGGACCGATTGCGTGGGACTACGCACTGAAGTACACAATGGTTATAATATGAGGAATTAGCACACAAAGAGAAAGATACCCTTAAGTTTCCCTTAAAATAGAATTTAAATTTATTGTACTTTACTTGGCATACAGAATAGAAGAAAGTCCAAGATAAAAACCAGGGGTAGAGACAGGAAAAAGGTGTAGGAAAGAATAGTGTATATGTTGTTGGTGTGTTTTTCTGACTTACGGTTGAAGAACTATGGTGAAGGGATGAGCGCGTGATATCTCGGTGGCTCTCCTCTACGTAGCGGATTCCGGAGAACTCCAAAGTGTGCTAGAGGCTCTAGCGCTGATGGAGCTGAAGATCCTCGAACACGCTTCGTTAGTGGTGGTGATGATGAGGTGACTCTGGAGGTGTTGCTGGTGACAGTGGATCTGACTTCAAGCAAAACTCGATTGTCTACTGGCTCCAGATGCTGGTTTGTGGTATTCGGCAGAAATGCCCTAGGCTGGATGCCCGAGTTGAACTCAGTTAGATACTGAGTAGTTGGCCAGGCCGTTGCTGGCATTTGTAGAAACCTCGGCTGAGAAGCCCGGGGTATCCTCAGTCAGATCCTGAGAAGAATCACCAGGTCGTTGCTGGCTTTGCAGAAAACCTCGGCTGAGAAGCTCGGGGTGAACTCGTAGTAGTGCACAAAATTTCCAGGTCGTTGCTGGGCTTGTAGAAACACCTCGGCAGAGAAGCTCGGGGTGAACTCGTAGTAGTGCACAAAATTTCCAGGTCGTTGCTGGGCTTGTAGAAAAACCTCGGCTGAGAAGCTCGGGGTGAACTCGTAGTAGTGTCAGAAGGTGGTCTTGCTAAGCTGGCTTCCAACAGACGGATCTTGAAGGATGAGCTCTAATGCTGAACAAGGCCCTTCGTTGAATACCATGAGTCGAAATTTTACTTTGGACTCGTTGGCTTGAGTTAAAGCTGCGCACTCGATCTGGGGTTGCGACTGGAGTCGAGTTGTATGCTCGGACTGTGCCCCAGTGGTGACGTCAGAGGGTGGTCCTGCAGAGTTGCTCTCCTGAAGACTCGGCCTGGAGGGTTGAACTAGATGACGAGCAGGATAACACTTGAAGATCACGAGTCGGAGATTTAATTTAGACTGAGTTTATTTGGTGAAAAACCGCCCTTTATATACTGTTCGGGCGTGATTCCCCTATAGCCGTTGGCATTTTGAGATTTCGTCATCCAACGTTTTTTTGGAGGTATGGTGGGAGGAATCTTCATATGATTAACAATGTATTCAAAAGGGATGTTTCACCCCGATACTACCCCCCATTTCCCCAGGTGCGGGAGAAGTTTTTGAGAGAAAGACGGGACGAGCGCGCATTGGCCTCTCTCTAATTAATATGTTAATGTTCTTCTAATGTCGAAAGTGGCATGTTTACGCATTTTTTGACATTCATGGCCCATAAATTCAACACCTCCTTTGACGATGGATAACTATTGTTCATTAGAAACCTCGCGTGTCAAATGGAGTGGACCTTTTGAGGCTGGAGATGTCCCCTTGTTTGGACAACAAGAAATCGTCTGGTGAATTGTGCCAATTCCTGGAAGCCATCTCATAACTTTCGTTAGGTATGGGGTGCAGGTGACGTCATGGTCCCGGCCAACCCGATGTAACCAATGGGGGGAGGCACTCGGAGCATATGTTCCCCCTATTGGCCAGCCTTTTCCTTTGTCGATATCGGCAAACCCGTGGCTGAGGTGGTCCATCTCTGAATTGCCGAAATTTTCAATTCTTTGGGGCAGCTCCCATCTGTGGTTACTATAGGAGGGTTGTTTAAGTTATTGCTCCCCCCCCCCCCGCCCCAATTCAATGGAGTGAAAAGGATCTCCGTTGATGCGCCTTTCAGCAAATGTGTGGTTTCTTTTTAGATGATTCGTGGTTTCCAGGTGTTGTCGCCCTGATGGTCACTCCTTAACGCCTTTTCAGATCATAATGACGGCCACTTGAATACCTGCTAGGTGGTCTCTTTTATTGTGCTCACTTCGCATAATCGGCAATTAGGCCGGTCATAGCTACATTCCTTGCTATTGTATGGGATTTTCCAAGGCCCCATTTTTGTGGTTACACCAAGTTTTCCGAATTTATAAAGAAAAATCTTAACCGTAGTGACTGCGGCGTCCGCAACAGGAATGTCATCTTTCATCCAATGGCGTTTTTCAAATTTCCGAAGCGATTGTCGCACAACCTTAAAATCTATCCAGACGTAAGTTTACAATGAAAAATTCAATTTAATCATGTCAATTGGCTCGATTAATTATCAATTTATTGCATGTTTCATCCTTCTATCACCTGACTATGCAGTATCAACAAAAGATTATTGCTTACATAATATCCAATTCGAAAAGTTTGAAAACATTGTTATAATCATTTTTACGTATGAAGCTCTGTAATATTAATGGTTCATTGCTCACCCTGCGCCAGATATAAGCACTCAGGTTTACATGATGCTAGACGTCCAGCATGGGAGAGACAACTATTAGGACCCCAGCGCTTGAAAATAATAGAGGAAGATGCATGTGGTGACTGACCCACGTTGCCTTGCCAGTTCGCTTTATTAGTACGTCTCAGGTGTAGTATTGCGTGCGAGTTAGAATTAATTTGTTATTATAAATAAATCCTAATCGACCTGGTAGCCACAAAATAATCTTTTTATTTAGTGGATACTTATACTTTAAAGTGGCACATCTATGCTTGTTGATCAGTCTTCGGGATGGGTAAAATGATAAAGATGGAAATAAAAAGAAAATCAACTTAATGGAAGAAGGGTTCAATTAGAAAACAATGGCCAAAATATCGGGGAAATACTCACAAGTTGCATCATTCCTCCCTCATACTCATCCGTCCACTCGTTTCTTAATGAGAAATTATACATCTACCACGACATTGATATTAGTTTAGTGATTTTAATTATCAATAAGTGCGTCTTTGCACGAAACTCCACTGGGAAGTTGGGATCACGCGATTTTGCAGCCCGCCTGCCAAATTCGGGAAGAATTAGGTTGTGTACAAAACGCAGAATTGATCACTACGAAGGTGTGCGTAATTGTGATCAATTATTACTCCGGAAAAACTCGGGTTGACAACAAGAGCCGGACAGAGAAGTTAAACTGATTCCGGAAACAAGTATGAATCGATCTCGAGGAGCTCGCCATTCTGTATGTTCTCTGTCGAAGCTTAGGCGAGACTGCTTAGTTTCTCGATAATCAAAAATCAGTTGGGGTGGGGTCGATGCCCGGAGCCTTGACTGAACTGCTGATTTTTTTTTAATTTGATATATTAATTGAGCTGATGCATTCCGCCGGCGAACCGTGCGCGGAATGGCGAAATCGGTTCGACATGCTCGCCTGATTTCGCTTGCTTGTAATTTCTTTATTTATTAAAGTCTAAACATAACACAGATTGAAGTAATAAGTAAGTAAGTGATGTGGAGTGTGTGAATATTTCTCAGTCCTTTCAGTGCGTAGTTTCCATGTTTTCACTAATAATGATTGTTTTATGTTATAGTGAAACTAGAAGTGTACGTTTTCCCAGACGCAAAGATGCGGCAGAAGCGGGAACAGGATGATGGCCGGATGGAAGACTGATGGTCTTGAGAAAACTTGAGAAAAAATTCCAAGGTACTACAACACGATCCACAGGCTCGAAGAACCTATGGACTTGGTTCTCAAGTTCATGGCATACTTCGGAGAGCATTTTTATGCAAATAATGTAAGTTATCTATAGCAATATAGAGAATTGTCGAAATAATCCGTGAGTATTTTATTTTTTTTATTTTTACATTCTTCCTTTTCCTATTACCATTGTTACCATGGTTTGATAGGCGCCCCTTCGTCTTAGCCTTTTAGCCTCTCCTACTATCCTCTCATTAGCCTCTCCTACTATTCTCTCATTATTTTTGCGGTAGCATGGGCCGACTTTCTGTACTGCGCCCATTTGGCGTGTACTGAGGGAAACCATGTAAAACCTCAGTAGCGCAGCCGGCCGGTACTGCGGGGATTCTGCTGTGTTTATCAGTCACACTGACTCGGTGAACACACCAGCTCTCCGCACCCGTGCCTGACGGCGGCAGTCTACACGCCGATGGGTGTGACTAAGTGGGCACCCATCCAAGTACTAACCCAACTGAGCGTTGCTTAGCTTGGGTGATCGCCGGAGTCACACACCGCCCGCGTGGCTACTGTCGCCGCT